AAACAGAATAAGGAAGTGAAAGTCGCATCTTACGGAAATGCTGCAGCATGTGTTGCAGGGCTCTGCGGGCCAGTCCTAATTCTGGCTGCCTTCTCAGTGGGCATCAGCAGTCATAGAGGAGAATTTTTTTTTTTTTACTTCGAAACTTCAGAAGGTTTTGTTACTGATTTTATACTTTTATTTTTTGTTTTGAAGACTATAACAAATCTACAGCATATAAAGAAAGCTACTAATTTAAAAATTAGTAACAGTAATGCCTGCCATTACTATTTCTGCAGCAAATATTCATTGTGAGGTTATTCCACACCTCTTTTCTAAATGCTTTGTTTTCTCACTTCATGAAAGTAGGTGTAGCACCATTACAGTTCTAAATTGAGGCTACTGGGAGAACTGGGATTTGAAGACAGGCAATATTTGCACAGCTCAGACTATTCACCTCTGTCTCACTGTCTCCAGATGTAGTTACTATCAGTATTCATGACTTAGATTTTACTTCTGTGATGTTTTAATAAGAATTGTTTATCTTTCACAGGTTTAACTTCGTATATACAACTTCCTCAGGTTTCTGTGCAATGCCTTTCATTTTACAATTGTATCCTATTTTTTAAAAAATAAATTTGTATTTATTTATTTATTTATTTATTGGATACAGCGTCCCACTATGCAGTTCAGACTCATAGTGACCCTCCTGTCTCAACTTCTTGGGCCTCCCCAGATGACAGGTATGCGCCACCACACCTGGTTTTAGGCCTGCACGATGCACTCCAGGTTCCGGGCATGTGGAACTGGGGATTGAACTCAGATCTTTGTGCTTGCCAGGAAGCTGCTTAGACTGCTGAGCTGCCTCCCCAGCCACAATCATATAACTATTTACCATAGAATCTAACCACTATGATAACAACTATGAGTGTTGTAGAAGTGACAGATTTCTTCTTCAAACTTCTTAGAAAAGAACCAGGACAGGTTCTTTTGACTACGTATATCTTTTAGGCTTCTCTTACCCTACCTTTTACCCATACTGGTAGATGTAGAGCTTTTGTTATGGTTTGTGTCTATGTGCCCCCCGAGGCCCCCCCAAGCCTCATGCAGTCATGGGGCAGCTTCTGGAGTTTGTGATTATTGTGGGTGTGGATGCTGTACCTGCCCTGGGGCAGGTAATTTACAATACAATGTAAGGAGGGAAGAGTGGCACGTTAGTTAGCTGCCTGAGCTGCTGCCTAACACTCCCTTTGCTCTCTTCTCCTTGCCACCACCATAAATGGCTGCTCTCTGACCTGTGCCGCACTCCCTTGGAGGCAGCTGAGTATGGACGCAAACCTCCAGTAACTGAGCTAAATAAACCTTTCCTTCCTTCGTTCTGAATGTCAAGTTATTTGTCCCAGCAATGAGAGAAGAGTAACTGAGACACTTTTTAAGTGGAAGAACATACTTTAAGCTGCTGAAAGATTAGTGAAAATCTTTACCTCCCTCTTAGTGTGAATATATATTTCTATAGGAATACTGAAAAATTAGCGTGCTCATTATGATATATTGCCTGAGTCCTTTGTGAGATGTAACATCACTTACGTGATATTTCTTAAAATCAAAAAGATTTTTAATTTCTTTTCCTGTTTTTTGTTGTTGTTACTTTGTTTTTGTTTTTTGAGACAGTCTTTCCTGTGTAGTTTAGGCAGGAGTTGAATTCAATATGTATCACTTGCTGGCCTCAAACTCAGGAGCAGTCCACCTGCCTCAGCCTCCCAAGTGCTTGGATTAGAAGTGTATGCCAACATGTTCTCAGCAGCTGTTGCAGCTGCAACATGTAGGTTGCCAACATGCGCTCAACCTAAGCCGCAGTCCTGTATGCCTTCGCAGCTGCTGAGCACTGTGCTTCAGTGACCCTTGCTGTGTGGCAATGACCCTGAGTAATAGTTCCAGGCTCATTGTTTCTCAGTATTTGTAATTTTTAAAGGGAATAGGGAAGAAGTTTCTCTTTTTAAAAATGTATGTAGAATTGGTTTTTAAAATTTACGTATTTTGTACAGGGTCTCACTATGCAATTCGGACTTGTAGTGATCCTCCTGTTTTCAGCGTCCCCAGTGCTGGGATTATAGGCATACACCTCCACTCCTGGACTCTGTGGCCAGCTCAGTGTGCCTGGGGCTGGCGTAGCCTGTGGTGCTGGGATAGAACCCTGGTTCCTGCACTTGCTGAAGCAGGCACTTAGTCCGCTGAGCTATCTTTCCAGCCCTACATAAAGTTTTTGACCTTCATCTTCTGTGTCCAAGCATATGTTGCCTACCTATTTCTGGTTGGGAATTACCATCATACTGAGCAACTCTTTGGGGCCGGGGATATGTCAGGTTTATTTTCTGCCAAGACAGAAAACCCTTAAAAACGGATGAGCTAAAATAAAAGATGCTGGGGCTGGTGA